CATCACCTTCCCAAGGCCCTGCCTGTGAGTTCATGTGGCATTTGAGGTACATCTAGCTATAAACCCTAACATGAGTACTTAAGAAATACCAGCGACCCACCTGGCTTCAGCAACTCCCTATGTGCCTTTGCTACTTTACTGAACTCCGTAATATCTGTCTCCACCTAACACACCCTGTGTTGCCAAGAATACTAGCTAGTACACAATAGGCTTTCAATAGATTTGCTTGAATTGATGAAATGTCTGATCCTTTTGGTATAACACGGAAGTGGTGACAATTATCCAGTGATAAGAACCGTGTCCTGAGGAATTTTGATTTATTGAATTAAGGAAGTTTTATTGCATGTGTGCTGAAAATGTTCACCATAAATAAATATTGAATTGTAAGGAATTTTTCCACATCTACTGACGTGATCATTGATTTTTCTTTTAATATTTCCTTATGACTGGGCTGGGGATTTAGCTCAATGGTGCTGCCTCCTGCCTCACAAGCACAAGGTCCCGAGTGCAATCCCTGGTACTTATGACCACATAAAATTGAATAAATCTATCCCTTGAATGTTTGGGAGAATTTGCCCATCTTAACCTGACCATTTCATTTTGTGTAGATTGTAAATGACTGGTGGAGTGTCCCTTATCCCATAAGGTTGGTACTGGAAGTGTTTCAGGTTTCAGATCTTTGAGAGTATTTTGCTATGTTTGCAAGTATACAAAATGAGATATCATGAGGATGGAACTCCAGTCTAAACACAGTTCATTTTTCATGTACGTGTAGCCCAAAGGCATTTTTATATAAGATTTTTAGCATTCCTTCTTTTTCACTGCAGCTCATTATAGAAGGCCAAGTGTGGAATTTTCTACTTGTGGTAACATATTTGCAACTCACAAAGTTTTGAATTTTGTAGCATTTTGGAATTTGGGTTTTTGGATAAGAGGCTCAACCTGCACTGCTGGTTCAATATCTCTGTGGATATTTTAAAATATTTATTCTAGTCTAGTTCTTCCTGGTCAGTTTTAGTAATTTTCGTTTTTCTAAGAATATGTCTTTCATCTACTCTTTTAAAGTGTATGAAAAAAACCTTCGTTCCTAATATTTCCCTAGGTCGTTTTATCTCTGCTCCCCTCCAGGTTTGTCCCCATTGTAAAATTCAACAGTGTGAAGTTGCCATCTGTAATTTTGATTGAAAACATGGCGTTTATTTTGTCATATTTATTTGTCCGTGATAAAGTGCTTTGAAAGCGTGCTGGCCGCTTGTCTTTATTTCATTTTCTCTTACCTGCGTTTCTCTTCTTTCATTACTGTCTTTTACCTTCTTTAGCTTAGGCATTCTTGTTTGCTTTATCCTTGCCTTCTTTTCATTTGTCTTTCTTGCTATAAATGCTGAGCTAATAATTTCCAGCCATTCTTTTTTCTAATAGAAACATTTTACTTCATAAAACTCCACATAAGTACTAATTTTACTGCACCCTAAGGTTTTTATAGAAGTTTTTTTATTATCATCTAGTTTTAAATAATTTCTAACTTCCATGTTTTCTTAAAACTTTAAATTATATAGAAGCACTTCTTTCTGCTTTAATTTCTAAATACTTATTTTTCTACCTTTTAATTACTAATTTCTGTTATTAAAGACTGTTGTGAAAAATTATAATTGATACAAAAGCAGCTACTTAATATTTGTTAAATCCAGCTTCATGACTAGCATAGCCATAAGATCTGAAATTTAAGACTTGTATCGGTATTACTACCCTAAGTTTGATCTTTGTAATATAAGATGTTCATAAGGCTCATAAGTGAAGAATCTAAGAGGTTTCTTTGTATTGTTTTTATTTGCCTGTATTTTAAAGGTTTAAAATTATTTCAAAATGAAAAGTCAGAAGTTTGAAAACATGGAACCTATTAACTTGGTGAAGAATTCCTGCCTTCTCTCAAATCTATAACCTCTCTTGTGGTTTGTCTTTTAGCATAACTTCACACAGCTTCAGATGAGGGGCATTAATAACCAGCTGAGTTCTCCTTTGCACCTAACTGTGCTCAGAAACAGGAGTGAGGCCCTAGATGTGAGAGGCGAATGAGGATGGGATGCTCTGTGACCACCTCCCTGGCTCCCCGCTTCATCTTGTCCTGAGGGACTTTGCGTCTCATGATCAGCTCCTAGAGAGAAGAGTCTGTGGTTTACACTGTCATGTACATGCGTGTGAACTTACACATCTCCCCAGGAAGCACATAAACTATCCCTGCTATTCTAAATATAACCCTAACGGCAATGCTGTAACCAATTTCTCCTAAATAGCTTCAAATGGGTTTTGAAAGTTTATTCATTTACTTTTGAAGGATTCTATTGCAATGTTTACATTAAAGGCGAAAGTGTGAGACACAGAGGAGCTTCCCGGGTTGCATTTTTGTGTCCCCAGTGCGTTACTGTCTTTGTGTTGCTGACCTTGCTGTTCAGTCCTCTGAAGACTAAGTCATTGGTCACTGAGAGACCTAAATTAACGGTGCAGTGTCACAAAGTCGCACCTCTCACTTCTCACCACCGGCTCCCCACGGCTCAGTCCCTCAGCTCCGGTCTTTGGGATTACTTTTAAATACAGTGCGTGACTGAGGCAGAGCTGCAAAGAGATAAAAATTAAGAATAGGTAAAGAAAACAAATTTCTTTTCATGTGTACACAATTGTGTGGAGAAGAGATCACAAATCCTAAATATTGTCTCAGTATTTGTAAGGGTTACAGTAGTATAAGCTTGTGTAATGCATTTAAGGAGAGCAACAAATCTAGGCTCTCAGTCTATTGCTAATATATTTCTGTATTTTTACTCTGTCGTTTTATTTTAAAGTAACCCAAATGTAATTCTACTTCATTAACTGTTAACACCAGACCGTCCACGTCCGACGGGAGTAGTGGAGGAAATGAAATGGAGATTGACCTCTCCCTGTGCTCCAGGGGACCCTGTGCACATTTCGCACAGACGTGCAAAGGGACGGGCTGGGATTGACTCAGAGGCCCGACCAGCCCTGCGCCGGCTGTGCCTAGGGCACGGGAGAAGAGGAACCCAAAAGAAGAAACAGCTCCGAGAGCCACAGCCTCCTCTGAATCATGATTTGTATAAAAACATTACCCAAATTTATAAACGTGTACAAAATTAATTTATAAAGAGGGATTAATCAGAGAGAATTCCACTTTACCACTCATTGGCATCACTGGCTGAGGGTCAGTTGGTGAGCAAGGACTTGAGTGTGGCAGAGGGAGGAGCAGCTGGGGCTGCGGCACAGGACAGTGACTGCCCCGTCCAGCTGGTTCTGTCAGACTTCCGCAAGCTGTTAATCATTTCTGGCAGTATCACCTAAAGCTGAACATACACATTTTCTATGTGGTAATCATTGTACTTTCAGGTGTTTATCCAACTGAAACACAGAAATCCTGGTGAGTTCCCCAAAGCACTGCAAGGAAGTGTTCTCAGGAATATTATTCATATAACCCCAGACTGGAAATGCTCCCAAGGCCCTTCCGGGGTAGATCGGAAAGATGCACTGTGATCCATCCCAGGGTGCAATTCTAACCTGCTGTGAGCGGGAGTGAACAACAGTGACCCACAGTAGCATGGGAAGCTCCCCTGGCAAAATGACGGTGAACGCAGGAGGACTGTGGCGGAGAGTGGAACTTCCTGTACCGTGCGGGGATGGTTCTGGAAATGTCCCCAGAGGAGGCGGGGGCCCAGCCTGTGGTTGTGTTGGTAGGCTCCAAATCCTCCAGGAAGTAGAGCTCTGGGGATGGATGTGTCCTTGAGGGAGACTTTCCAGGCTGCCTGCTTCCTGCCCACCATGAGATGACCAGTTTCTCTCCCACATTCCCATCATGATATTCTGCATCACCCCAAGCCCAAAGCAACACGGCCAACCATCCATGGACTGAAATCTGTGAAGTGCTGAGGCAAAATGAACTTTCCTCCTTATAAGGTGCTTGTGTCAGGTATTTTGTTACAGTGGTGGAAAGCTAACACACGCACCATTTGTACCAAGTGGAAAACAGCAAAGCTGATAGAAGTCAGAATGGCAATTGCCTTTGAAGACTGTTTGGGACGTAGAGACAGCAACATGCTGGCAACGTTCATGTCCAGTTCTACAGAATAGGTACACGTACTTGCTCCCCACAACAAATGCAATCTTTAGGTACTAAAACAGGTAGAGATGAAAAAGTGAAAAATAAACGTGCCTGATGGTTACAGGAGTATGCCCACTTCATAGAACCACATCACATGCACTTAATGTAACTGAGATTCCAAAAGGGCTCCTCCAGGGCTCTACAGCAATTGCTACACACACAACACATCATCCTGGAGAGGCCTCTCTGCACAATGACTCAGATGTCTCTCCAAGTGCCACTGAGAGCTACCAGTTGTTTTAATTTGGATGTCTGGAATTCACAGGCAAGCAGCACCTCGGTAGCCTCCAGTAATTATCTACGGTCACACTTAGGATTTGGCATTTAAGGTAAAAAGCACCTGGACTGGGTCCATGCACTTAACCTTAAAATGCTTCGTTACAGGAAAACCCAAAATGACATCTTCTTTTTCCTAAAATAAATTCAGGAAAAGTAGAGAGGAACAAACTCAGACAGCTACTAAGTCTAGGGAGATTCCCACCTAGAATCACTGGTTACCTAATCCTAGTTCTATTTTCTGATATTTAAATGAACTTTTACTTAGCCACAGACTGTTTTCCTCACAATATCACATACAAGTAAAAAGCACTCACATTTTAACACTGGTTTAAACCGAAACTAAAATAAGAGTTAAGAGTATCTCGCATGGCTAAACTCTACATCTGCTGATGTAAAGTTTGTTAAGCTGTTTAAAAAGAATAGTGGTGGGAGTTATAGATGACAATAGTGTACTGAGTAAGCCTATTATAATCCAGTATTATTTTTTAACATTTGTGCTTTAAGAAATAATAATATACAAATCAAGACAGGAACAGATCCCTTTCCAAATGTGGAAAAGACGCAGATTTCAAATACTTTATTGTCACAAACTAACACATATTACTTTACAATAACTCACATTGTTTCTCACCTGATTTTTAGGGTGACCGTCATACAGAGAGAAGCCCAACAATGAGAGCTGCCAGGCAAACTGAGTCAGACAAGGAGGCAGAAGGCACTGTATCTTTCTATTTGGCAATCTACGTTAGCAGCAACACTAGGAACAGCACTGACCACTCCTCCCATGGCAAGACCCTTCCCCTCCTGTCACTTCTTCTTTTTTGATTGTGCTATAAAAGAAAATAAATTGCTACATACATTTTAGTTGACCCAAAATGTAAAAATTATGGGAACTAGACATTTGAGCAGAGTTTGATTTTAGATGCCAAGTTTGAGTCCTTTTGTTTGTTTTGAAAGAAGTATATTTAAAGTTATTTTATTGTAGAGGGGAGAGTAATGTCAGCTTAGGTCTGTTGTTTCATCTACTGTTTAAACTAATGAAGTAAATTGTTTAATGAAATTAGAGCTGTTAATTGGTGATATAAAGAGACAAAATGCAAGAGAAACATGTTATAGAAGGTAAGTATTACAACATCCTCAAGTACAACTGGTTATAAAGTGAAGATGAAGAGCCTGTCTTGTGGGACATTACAATCTTTTGAGAGACTCAGTGAACTTCCCACACTCCAGTGTGCGAAGGGCTTCAGTAAAACTTCAACTTCTATAAAGCAAATTACGACTGTTTTCGTTGCCTGGGATACATAAACTGTAATAGCAGCAGTTTGAAACAGAAGAACTGGAAATAAAAGGAAATTATATTACTTTATCATAAACTGACCCATTCACTTCAGTGGACATAAGTGCAATTTTTGTTATTTTTAATTACTGATTCATACGCATAAACTGAAATTACCCTACACTGAAAATTCCTGAAGCAACTGAAACTATAGGAAACCATATATGCATATACAAATGAGGAAATTCTTTCCTTACTGTGAAAAATGTCTTCTAACAGAAAATATTAGAGCTAAAAACTGCCAACTTGAACTAACCCAAAAAGACTTGAATAGTATATGTATCTCATTTTCAGTCCACTTGTATAGTATTTAAATTTAGACTTTTAAAATTAATTTTAACCACCTCATAAATGTGTATTATCATTTTCATGTACCTAATGCAAGATTTGTAGTTTTTTTAACTTTCCATGATAGCTGCTGGAAAGGAGAGGAGCACATTTCGCATGAACAGGGACAATGAATCCTGAGATTTCTCACGAATGTCTGAATGCCCACAGATGTGGGCACACGTCTCATAGTAAACCATGGAATGTCACCTTTGCAAAAATCATTACTGCCCTCTGAACTGTACACTTCCCAAGCCAAGACACGACAATCACATTGCTCGATGCAGAATCATCATAAAAATCTTTCTGATTCTATCTTTTTGATTCTTGTAATTCACATGACACGCTTTGGCTGTGGTTGTCTGTTAAATTTCCTGTTTTGGACCAGATTCTGCAAACCAAAACAAAAAGCTCAAGGAAAGTCTATGGTGATGACTTTTTTCCCCTTTTGGTGTTTTCAGTTAAGTGTTCTCCTTTCAGAGGTCCAGAGAAAGGGAGGGAAAGAGGGACAACGGCGGACCGCGGGGGTCACAGCAGTTTCAGGGCACCGAAAAACGTGCCGTCCCCATCGCGAGAGATCTGCGCGTTCTCCCTTGGGATTGCAAGTTGGATTTCGTCTCCCTCTTCCAGCTTTGCGATGCCTGGCAAAAAAGGATTTACAAGCGCTTTAAGTGGTTGTTCAACGGGAAAGGGAAGATAATAGCAACCTTAAAGAAAATGGTTTTGCTTTGGAAAAAATGTTAACACAGGCACTCACAGCACAGGACGGGTTAGTAGACTTCTAAGCCAGTTACAGATCTATTAGCCTCGAAGAGGAAAAGACATGACAGGACATGGAACAAAATAAACTAAACAGGAAACAACAGATCCAATGGATTATGCATGCACTCTTCATAAAATAAATGCTCTGTAAAAGACCCAAATATCACATTGAAGAGATAAGCAAATCATAGCATGTCCCTTGATAGACTAGTTCAAGGAGGTTTTGCTGAATTCTATTAATGAAGGACACTTTTTATAATAATGTTCAATAAGAATGCAAAAAACAAATCACACATTTATGTATATTGAACAGTCTGGGCTATACTTTTAAATACGCAAATTAAAAGTATAAATATGAAAAAGAAAAAAGTCAGAGAGAAATTCCAACACTTTACTAACAAAGCACATTTTAATATTGTTTTTCTCTAGACTCCCAAACAACAAAGCAGTTAGCTTCTTTCAAATGACCAGTATATCTGTGTGCGCCTGATGTACAATGGTGTAGTCTATGAAGTTAGGGAACAGAGTAGAAGTCACAAACTGCTTTTACTGTATCTGTAATTGTTGGCCACACTACCAAAGAAAACTATGAAGTAGAAAGAGAGGAAGAGAGAGGGGCGGAGAAGAAATAAAGAAGCTAATAAACAAAACGGTTAAAATTTGAATTGTCATGTTTCAGTTATTCCAGACTCTAGTCTCGGCTGTAACTTTTTTTTACAATAACCATATTCAATTTATTAATTGAAAAATGAGAAATATTTAACTTCAGATATAAAAGTGGTCCTTAAGTATTTTGCTGGGCTTCTTAAATTGACGATTTAGTTTTTTAAGGCTAATATGGAAGTAGTTTTCACACTTTCAGACTATCAGGTAGTTTTTAGTGCCTTTAAACAAATTTGCCCTAAAGTAGATTAAAACTGCAATCCTGAAACTTCTTGGAGAATGCTTTGCATGTATACCACTGAGTTATAAGTATTGAGTAATATAATATCTAGGAAATCAAAATAATTATTCTTACAAAATAAGGCACCTAAGAACTTTGGCCAAATACTCTCAAACTCAAGAAGTGAATGGGAGAGGAGGAGAGGACTAGAAAAAAATTTTTAAAGTTAGTCATAAACCACTAAGCACTAGTGAATATTAATAATAGATTTGTGTGGCCTTGCCATTTATAAACAGTTTGCAATATCAAACTGCTGATCAGAACCGGCCACAGAGAAAGTTTCTTTATGAAAGCTAGGGAATTCCAATGTGTCAGACTTCCTCATCCTCTGACAAAGTTATTTAGGGTTTCAGATCCAGAATGACATCACCTCTGTTTGCAGTAACTGTTTTCCTTGGTTTCTAACTGATTTACAGGGTGCTTGTCTGCAAACTCTGAGATACTTAAAAAGTATTTCCCAACCCTGCGTTCCATGCTGCTTCTCTGTAACTGAGACTTGAAGGTACTCCTGAAACCTCTGACGACATCTGTCAAAATCTCCAGAGACAAAAATACATGTTCAAGGTGAAAAATAGCTTCATCTGGCATGTCCAGGTTACTATCTTTTCTAAAACTAGCCTTGATTAACTTGAAATTATTCCCTTCACCTCATCCCTCATGAAGAAAACATTAGCAGTCACAGTCCCGAGCCTGAGAATTGACAGACTGTTAAATTCAAGTCACTTGCCCCATGTGCACACACACCAGCCAGTAGCTGTGTGACACTTCCAGGCTCCCAGGCATCCTGGGTCATTTCTTCCACAGCCTGTGGGGTTTTGGTGGCTCAGACCACGGAGCCAGACCTCCTGGTTTAACCCTAACAGATGTGCAACTTGGGACAGTCATATCACCTGCCTAGCTCTCGGATCCCGGCCCCCTCAATGGTTAAGAGTAAATGAGTGGGCGTGAAAGAATGGAAACTGATGATGGTTGTAAAAGACTGATGGCAAATACACCAGAGAATTGTTCGCGATGAGGAATTCAAGGAAGTTACTCTCCTTTCTAAATGGATATAAAAATGGTCAACAATGACTGAAACAGACGCTAGCTCATTGTTCCAGATGAGCAAAGCCCACACAGGATCCTGAAGCGTGACTTCCCAGTCACACTTCAGGCCACCGTCCTTTTATTGCTCTGGACAGCTCTGATTTTCCATCACAGTCCATCTTCGCCCCCCACCAAGCAGATCTGAGAAGGGTTATTTACCAGCTGAATAACAGGAATTATTGGGTAGTGTCTCGGGCATATTCTGAATACAGCGGAACAGAGTCACCAGACTCAGCTCGTCCCCAAAGACGTGGACTTTCTTCCTCTGTATTAGGTGTCCCATGGCAAAAGTGCTATCAGTGTACAACACCTGGGAAACAAACCAAAGAGCGTCGTCAGGAGTGTGTGCAGCAGGGGTGGCAGGGCGTGTCAAAGCAGAATTAGGGCTGGAGCCTACCTGGCCATAGATAAAGAAGTAACCAGGTTCCTTCACCACTATCTTATTCTCTTTCTCCTCCAGGGCTCGTCCTCTTTTAAAGCTCAGAAGCCATGGTACAAATGTGTATGATCCTACAAAGAAGAGAATTGCTCATAAGAAAAGAAACGGAGAAGAGTGGTTTTCACCTTTTCCTCATTGCTAAACCAAGCATGAAATTTAGAGGAAACTTCCACCTACTGAAAATAAAGAAGAAGAAGAGGAAAGAAAACCCACAGTGCCCCACTGGATTCTCAGTCATCACATACATGTTGACCTGCACAACCATGACGCTCTGTGTGAATCTGGGTTTTCTTCCATTGTTCTACATTTCATTTATTTCATCATGAAGGTGGCCTGGGCAAAAGAATGGACACAATTTCTGTAACACATGAGTAGAGAGTTTTCACTGGTTCTTCTAGAGGAGGAAATGATTATTGTGAAGACGAATTCAACAAAAGGTGTCAGGAGAAGGGAGCCCGCACCCCACAGCCTAGCGATGAACAGAACTCAGGAGAAGGAGACACCACTGAGACGTAACCCTAATGGGCAAGGGCAGGGGTCTGTAATTTGCGAGTTCAAGTGGTTTCTGTTCAGCACACTCATTCTCCACCATCCCCAGAAGTCACTGGAGAAGGGACAGAAAGATGCCACGCGGGCTCAAAGCTGGATGGAGGACAGACAGAAAACAGCAGCCACAGAGCGGACAAGCAGTGACTACCCCGTGAGTGAGCTGGGATGAGTCTGGGTGCTCCTGGACACCAGTACCCCTCACGAGTGTGTGAACACTCCTTTCTGGTGGATCACAGTGTGGGCTCACTGGATTCCTCCCAGCCATAAACACCGGGGTGAAGGTGACCCTTGAGACTAGAGGCTGGGGATTCTGGTAGGTATAAGTAAAAGGGTGAAAATAATTGAGGAGAAGGTTCGAGAAATGGTAATATAAGGACAAAACGGTAAAATGAAGCTATGGTAGTCTAAAATCATGTGCTTTTTCCCTATTTTTTAGTTATCAGCGCATGATCGCAGTGCACAGGGATTCTACTCATCATGGGGAGCTGGTCCGTGCGTGTGACGCGTCTTCGCTCTGTCTTCATCCCGGCCCCTCCCTATCTTGCCCTCCCTCCCCCACTCGTTCCCCTCCCCTTTATAAAAGCGCCGCCCCCCTGTTTAACCGTGTTTAAGAGGCTCCTATGTAATTGGCAATGGTGAGCTGCATGTGTCTCCGGATTTTACCTTGGTCGTGGGAAAGATGGGGCAAAGGCAATAACAAAACTCAGATTCCCCAAGCTCAAGCAAAGAACAGCTTCTCCCGGGATTAACTTTAAAGACAGATAGTCCAGGGTTCTCCCCAGTGGGCACAGCAGGATGTGGGGGCTGCCAATGTTCACGCATCCCATACACACAACTGCTGGGGCCACGCAGTGTATCCCAGGCATGCCAGGCATGTTGGAACTACTCCCAAATGAGATTCATTTTATTTTATTTTTAATTGACAGTTCAAGTTACATATATTTACTGTGTACCACACAATGCTTATAAATGTATATGCATTGTGGAATGGGTAAATCAAGCTGATTAACATACTCTTTACCCTACAAGGTGTTATTTTTGTAGTAAGAACACTTCAAATCTTGTTTCTGTGCACTTTTCAAGAACACACTATATGTTATCTTAGTCACCATGCTGAGCAATCAATCTCTTGTGTATATTTCTCCTCTCTGACTGAAATCTTGTACCTTTAACCAACATTCCCTCAATCCCCACCCCTCAGCCTCCAGTAACTACCGTTCTACTCTACTCTGAGTTCAGCAATTTTAGATTTCACATATAAGATATCAAGTGAAAGTTGCCACTCAGTGCCTGGTTGACTGAACGTTAACATAATGTCTTTCGGGTTCGTCCATGTTGGGACAAAGGACAGGATTTCCCTCTCTTGAAGGGCTAGAGAGTATTCCAGTGCTCATCTACTGTGTCATTTTTCTGCATTTGTCTGTTGATGGACACTTAGGTTGGCTCCATATCTTGGCAACAGTGCCAAGCACTGGAATGAACAGGGCACTGGGATGTCTTTTCAATGCAACGATTTCATTGCCTTTGGACAGATACCCAGAAGCAAGGGAGGAATGGCGGGTGACAGGCGGCTGCGTGGAGAACCCACCTCTTCAGTTCAGCTCTGGCCTGTGCTCACTCTCAAGAGCCCCTCCATCACCACCATCTGATGTGGGCAGGTCTGGGCACCCCACTTTGCCTTTAACCCGAAGAAGGGTTCTGAGCTCCTTTTAAGTGCAAACTCCCCCAAGGATGATAACAGTTAATGAGCAAAACATCACCTGCCTTACAGAAACACAGGCAAAGTCATCTTCACCTGTCTGTCGGCAAGATAGCTTCTGTAGAAAGATTGTAATAAAAGCCTTTAATTTTATTTACATGAGATGATGTCTTAACACAGTTTTAAATACTGAGTGCTAAAAAAGGTGGGAAATTAACATAATGATAATTACCTATTTGTAAAATACAAACTGATGCATCGGAGGCGACTGCTTCCAGGGTTCAGCGGTACTGACTTGATATTCTGGTCAAAGAGGGCTTTTCCCCAAACCCTAAAATGATACATTGCTTAGCTTTTCACTTCTCTAAGCTCTGGGACTGTTTGTTTGGTTTCCTGCTATTTCCGCAGGGCTAAAAATGATGACTAGCTCACAGTGGATGTGCAGCAAATATTTATTAAATTAACTAATTCAACTTTAAACATAAAATAATTCAAAATGATATATGTGCAAGGGTAATTGGTCATAAGCATTCAGATGTTCTTTTAAAAGCATATTTGCTACCTAGTTATGGAAATTCAAGGAAGTCAAACATGATTATCCAATCCTGAGCTAGTATACACTCTTAAAGTGAAGAAAAGCATATACTCCTAAAAGTACTTGTTTATATCCTGTCTGGAAATAGCTATTTACTAAGATGACTTTTGCAATAATTTAAATGTATTTCCTATTTCTTTACCTCATATTTATTTTCTTTTGACATTTATCATCTCTTCTTGGCAATATTCTCATTAAGAAATAAAGTACATGGTTATTTGTTTTTATTTACTGTCTGCAGTTCGTCTTCCTCTCTACACCTACATCTGCCATAGAAACACAAACACAAACGCACACACAATTACACTCCACAAGTTCGGAGAGTTTGCTGCAGTCCAAGTGTGTTTGAAAATGTCAATAATAGCGTCTAATGCTGGAGAATGAATCCTATCTTCTAAGAGAATATGCTAAACAAAATCGTAAAACCAATGTAATTATACACCAGCATAAATACTGTGATGTGTTTCTACATCTTGAAACGTATTTAGGCTTTTAGGGTGTTAGACGACAACAGATAAATGCAAATAATAAAATATGCATTAATGCCTGCATGTAGAGTGTTCCTAAAATAACAGATGTCCCTCCTTCTAAGAGATATGTAAGAATTTGGAACTAAACTCCCAGAATGTAAATATTTATTATTAATAAACAGGTAAGATGCTGATGTACTTTCATATAAAATCTTTGGAATTTCTAGCTTCACTCAGTTTTAAATCCTTGATATATTTCAATGATTTCAAAATTTCTAAGACAGTAAAATACACAGCATGTGAAATAGCTACAAATGTCAGCATTCATCTGTGAATATAATATGCATGTATTTGTAAACATGTCTGGCCTTGAAGGGTATTATCTTTCCTCTTCTGATACATATTGAAGAACTGTAAATACTACACTGGGGATGCCAGTTTTTACAGAACATCGGATGTATTTCATTAACGCTTGCTTTTTATTCCAGTGTCTGGATGGAAGTTCCCTCTCACGCGTTTACACTCTAGCACTGCCCCAGGTGAGCTGAAGATGGCAGTGGTGACTCAGGCTACTACCACAGTGATTGGCTTCTCTTGGTTTTCCATTTGATTATCTTAAAAGTCCCCAAAATAGTTTTAAGAAAGACAATACCAAATAGCAATAATACTTTCTAAGGTAAACTAAATCAATTCAAGAAATAAGGTTTATTTCTTTTTTAAAACAAATGTGGTTTGGCCTCATAATGGTATTCACCGCAATCAAGCAAGCCCACCCCCAGCTCTGTGGATGAGGTGGGGCCGGGACCCTAACAAAACGAAGGAGCTGCGGCTAGCTCCACCTGAGGACTGGAAGAGCCACGAGCAGCCACTGTGGGCTATGACAGGGAACAGAAGAGTCACATATAACTATGTGTCTCCGCAGAGACAGAAGGTTTGCACCAGGATGCAGACCTGCGAGGCAGGCCGAGGGACGAGCAGAAATGCCCAGAGCAGAAAGAACTGACAGTTTTGAGACCAGTGTGCAGAGTTAGAGGGGACAGAGAAGGACAATACCATACCCGCGGTTCTGAAGTCGGCACCCTCAGGCATGGCCTTGGCAGTTCCCGGGACAAGGGACACTGGAGGGTGGGCAGAACAGGCCAAGGGCAAGAGCTCCGGCTGGGACTCCCCAAGACACTCAAGGAGAGATGCTCCGGGGACAGAGGGTGGCATGCGTGGGGCTCAGAGAGCGATGGGGACGGAGGGACACACGTGAGCCACCGGCAGGCAGAGGTCCAGAGATAGCACAGGGAGACTGAACTGCGGACGGAGGAGGACAAGGGGTGGCCAGAGGGGTGAAAATCAGTATTTAGGAAACACAGCTAGGAGTGACTTGCAAGCCTAGCCGGAATACAGGAAAATAGGCCAGAGAAACCACCAGCAGAAGCACGTACCTCTGGAAGGAGGGAACCGTCAAAGGTCACATTCTGCGCCATTAAAAGTAAAAGTCACAACAACCTCCGTGAGCTGATGATACTGAGCGGAGGTGAGGAAGAGACATCCGCTGTCAGCATGACGTGGGACCCGCCCCTCCCCTGCTCTGCCTCCTGCAGGTGGTGTCAGAGAGGGACGCACGCTCTCCAGGGAACCTCTGCGGGCTGTGAGAGCCGCTGGAATCCCACGGCTGAGCGGAGTGCGGAAGCACACAGACGGGCGGCCCGCCGAGGAAGCCTCGCACCCTCTCACCCACTCACACACACACAGCCCAGGGAAGCCCAG